TTTTGATGTGCTGTAGCATTGCATCACATGAACTGACCCTTCCATGTCTATCCATTCTCCTGGTGATGGACATTTGGTCTGTTGCCAGTTGTGGCTATCATGCATCAAGCTTCTGTGAACAGGACTTCTGAGAACATAAGCACTGATTTCAGTTGGGCATCTACCTAGACAAGAATGTGCTGGGTCTTAGGGTCTATGCAGATTTAGTTTAGTCTTAGAATAATAATATGTAATATAATGCTGCCAAAAGTTTTCTGAAGTGGTATTAAGTGATGATCCACACAGCAACAGTTGAGGCTTCCACACCCACACCCGCACTGTGCAGGTTGGTTTCTCCAGGAGCAGATGGGGCCATGGAGTTTGGGTCTGGAGATAGTGATTGGGGATCCACACCTGTGAAGAGAAAAGGGAGAAACAAGATGGGGCGGAGGGAGGAGCTGAGTTGTGGTGCAGGTCAGACAAAGTCCCAGTCAACCCAGCAGGGAGCTGGCATGAGAACTGCCCAGCAGCGGGACCCACATCCAGTGGAAACAAAAGGCTGACCTCTCAGCCCTGCTGCACTCAGCCACCTGACCTGGGTTGCCCCAGGAGGGCCATGGCCTAGGGCGGGGTGGCTCTCCTAGCAAAGGCAGACCTTGGAGGAACCGACAGCTGCAGGCCACCTGCTGACGGCAGTATAACTGTCAGTGTACCACACCTGCTAGCCATTTTAGTGGGGAGTGTGATGGTATCTTCTTGTGACTTTAATCTGCATTTCCAAGAAGACTAATAATGCTTATATGATAATTGGCCATTTAGATGTGCTCTGTTATGCAGTCTCTCTTCACAGCTTTTTATCCATTTTAAAAACTGGGATGTCTGTCTTCTTCTTTTTTAGAGACAGGGTCTCACTCTGTCACTAAGGCTGGAGTGCAGTGGTGTGATCACGGCTCACTGCAGTCTGGATCTCCAGGGCTCAAGCAATCCTCCCACCTCAGCCTCACAAGTAGCTGGGAGCACAGGCGCCGCTATCACACCCAGCTTTTTTTTTTTTTTAATTTTAGTAGAGATATGGTCTCACTGTGTTGCCCAGGCTGGCCTCAAGCTCCTGAGCACAACGGATCCTCCTGCCTCGGCTTCCCAAAGTGCTGTGATTACAGACATGAGCCACTGTGCCTGGCCTGTCTTTTTCTTATTAATTTATGAAAGCTCCTTATATGTTCTAGATATGAGTTCTTTTTCTTAAGTGTATTTCAAACATCTCTCAACCTGTTTGGTTAAGGAATTTTTGTCTGCCCCAGGGTCATGAAGATATTCTTGTATTTTATTTTCTAGAAGATTTTTTTTGTTTTACTTTAGGTCTATGATGGATCTCAAATTAATTTGGGGGTATGATATGAGGTAGGTCCATCTTTCCTCCATATGACTGTCCAATTGAACTAATACCATTTATTAAATATCACCTTCCCTTACTGAATTATGCATCTTTATTGTGAATCCAGGGATTGAACACATGTGGGTTTGTTCCTGGGCTCCCTACTCTGTTCTGTTGGTCCACTTGACTAGGATTACATTATGCCACACTGTCTTCTTACCCTGGATTTAGGAAAACCCTTGACACCCAGTCCAGTAAGTCATCCAGCTTTGTACTCTTGTAAGATCAGTTTACCCATTCTAGGTCCTTGGAATTTCCATATAAATTTTAAAAGCAGCCTGCCAGTTTTCTTGTAAATACCTGCTGGAATGGGTTTGTATGAAACATACAGATCAATTTGGCAACTTAATATCATAATAATATTAAGCTGGTCAAACAACAAACAGTGTACAGTCCTCAATTTATTTAGGTCTTCTTTAACTTCTCTGCAATGTTTTATATCATCATAGAGGTCTTGTGCTTCTTTCATTAGACTTACTAATAAGTATTTGATGATTATTTTGGTATTATTATAAATAGCACATCCAAATTTTCATTTGTTAATTGTTGCTAGCACATAGAAACTCAACTAATTTTTGTATATTGATTATAACCTTGCTAAACTTACTCATTAATTCTAATAGGTTATTATTGGATTTTGGATTTTTTTCCATATGCCATATTATCATCTGAAATGATGAGTTTGTATGTTTCATTTCAATCTTTATTATTTTTATCTTTATTTCTGCCTCATTGAAACAACTGGGCTCTACTGTACATGTTGAGTAGAAATGATAGTGGCGGACATCCATTTCTTGCTCTTATCCTTAGGAGAAAAGCATTCAGTATTTTACTATTAATGATGATGTTAGCTCTGTGTATGTGTGTGTGCCCGCATACACGTGTCTTTGATGGAAACCCTTTATCAGACTAAGTTTTCCTCCGTGCCTCTTTCGTTGAGAGTATTTTTTTTAATGCATGAATAAGTATTAAATTTTAACGAATCTTTGCCCATATGTACTGATTTTAGTTCACATCTGCAGCTACAGCTCTCAAAAGCTGGGAAGTGGTCTGCGGCTGGTGTCAGGCCAGAGGTTTCACAGGGAGTTCTGCCCTCATGGAGACTGGGTGAGACGGTCACAGGAGGCCAGAGCAGGAGATAGCCCCAAAGGCACAAATCAGCAACACTGACATGATCACACACCTTGGTCCTCATGACCTCCTCTTCTACTCACTCCCAGCAAGGACTTGGGATCTGTTTAGAATAGAAGAGAAACTAGTGCCATGCATATAACCCTGTGGCAGGCACTGCACTAGGCATGACGGGAGGGCAGAGGACACAGGTACTGCCCCTCCAGGGCCCTGGGGCATCTCCACATATCACACCATCCTGCACTCCTAGGAGGGCCCCGACTCTGGGCTAGAGCCCAGGCCTGTGTCCCTTTCCTCCACCAGCCCCACAGCACTCCCTCCCCACCCCCACCAGAGACCAGGGCCCTTGGGAGCAGTCGGACTGACCATGAACAAACAGAGCAAGAGCAGTGGAAAATGCCCCGAGTGGTCTCCACCCTCACCCGTCTCTTCCCCTGCCCAGTTGTCTTGTGAATTCTTGGCCTTCCCAGTGCGGTCTGGGAAGACTTCGACGGTTTCCTTCCAGAGCTCCAAGAAGCCAAGAACAGAAGCTGCTCCAGGCCATTTCTGTCCCTGGGTCTCCTTTCAAAGGATTTTTGGGTCAATGAAGAGAGAATGTGGCTTGTGGGCAGTCAAGGGAGAGGGCCTATCGTTGTTTCAGATTCCTGTCTTGGCTCAGAGATTCAGACTCTCCAGTTCCCACACTAGATGCCTCAGTCTACTGAGATTAAGGCCTTGCCTCCAAAGAATGGCCATGACATTTTTTGTTTCTGCCGTGTCTGCTCAGCCTCCCTCACTGCCTTCCACAGCAAGCCTCTGTTCCAGCCAGCTTGTGTGGAACTTAGGAATCTTTGGATTATAAATGATGAGCACTTATAATTACTAGCCCAACTCCTAAAGCCAGGATTTATTGGTTCACAGATCTAAAAAGCCGAGGGGGAAATGGCCTCAGGTGGGGCTGGTTCCAGGTGCTCAAACATTGTCACCAAGAATGTGACTGTCTCCATCTGTGACTCTGTTTTCTCTTGTATGAGCTTTATTATCTCCCTTTGTGGTGACAGATTGGGCTTGCATCCTTCCAACTTGACAACTGTTGAAAAGACAACACTTTTTTCAATAGGTGAAGCAGCAGTCTCAGGAAAGGCTCTCACTGGCCCAGCTGAATTCACACACCCGTAATGAGAATCAGCCCCACTGGAAACACATGATCTGAGGATGTGGGAAATGTGCATCCTCAGAGGAAAAACAACAGGTGTTACAACCAGAATTAAGGGTGTTAAACAAGCAAAATCAGCAGGCGTGTCCTCTTCTAGCTTCCCTGCCACCTCTATGCATTTGTTCAAATTTCCCTTTCTGGAATTCTCTTGGCCTTCCTGGGCTCAATGCTTCCTTTTCTTCAAGCCCTGCCGCCTTAGGAAGGCTTCCCTGGCCTTTGAGCCCCCCGCTGCTCTGAACTCACCATGTACCAATGGTCTAGACATTTGATTTTATTTTAAAATTAAAGTTATCTGATTTTTTTGATCCTATCAAAATAATATTTGTTCCCCAAACAAATCAGAAGACACAAAGATGAAATCCTCTATCATCCACAGAGCCTTCTCTGGGGAGGGGACACTGTGCCCAGGTTTGAGTAGAAATTGGCAGGGGAGGGGCGGGGCCAGGAGTGTCTCAGCGCCAGGAACCAGCATGGGGTGGGAAGATTAGGATTGGAAAAAGCTCAAAAGCTTTGAGGAGCTGAAGGAGCCCAGTGAGCAGGAATAGAAATAGAAGGGGTCAAGGGTTTGGGGCAAGGTTGGCTTGAGGGGGCTTTTAATCTAGTGAGCCAGGAAACCACAGGAGGAAGTTAAGCGGGGAAGCAGCATGATCCAACTGGCGCTGCAGCCGTTCCCTGTGCTGCACGCTGGAAAATGCAGAGGGGCAAGGTTGGAGGCCCCTCCGGTCACCCAGGCCAGAGATGAAGCTGGTTGGGCCGACGGCGGTGGTCGTGCCGAGGAATAGAAGCGGGTGGGTTTCAGAGACAGAAATGACAGACTTGCCGATGCTCTGGTGTGACAGTCAGGGTGGGGACATGAGGTTGAGTGATTTCTGGGTTTCTGGCTTGAGCAGTCGTGTGAATGGGGTGCATTTACTGCCATGGGGAAGATGGTGAGTAGGGGACATTCTCTCTCGATGTGTGCCCAAAATGGGAATCTATACTTACATTTTGCATAAGTTGCATGGTGACACTCTGCTTCCTCCTCTTTTCCCCACTCAACTGAGCATCCTTCCATGTCAGCCTGGCACTCATGGCCCTCATGGCAATGCCAGCACACTATTCCCTAAGATGATATCCCGTAATTTTTTAACCAATCCCCCATAGTGGACACATAAGTTGTTTCTGTACCGCCCATTTAGGACTTGACTCCATAGTACATTTTATTTTATTTTTATCGAATTATTTGTTTCTCAGTCATTAGTCCCTTTATGTTTTCTCCAGCTTTCCCAATTTCAGGACCTGCAAGCTGTCTCCATGCTCCTGCCCTCGGTGCCTTGCACTGTGGCCACTAGATGGCGGTGTTGCATAGGGTCCCCGTTGGCTCCAGTCCACAGGAGACCACTCAGCAGGACGCCCGACCTCCAGACTCCGGCCTGCACCCGCACGGCACGACCATCCCCGGAGACCCGTGGGTGGACTTCACATTCTCAGTGCCCAAAGAATTCCTGCCCTAGGTGTGACCTGCGGCCCACTTGTAAACGGATGTCTTTGCTCTTCCCTGCAGAAATTGGTCGGGGGTTGGGGGACTGGCGCTTTTGGCAATGGCTTCTGAAATGTGGTGTCCCAGGTGCCGACGATGCCTGAGAGGGCTCGAGGTGCCAGGGGCCACGCTACCAGAGCTTATTTGGTAGGTTTTTAGAAAAACATAATTTGTCTTTCAGACACACAATTTCATTTACTACTATTATTTAGAATGAGATTCAGTCCAAAGAAAAAAATTTAAATTAAAATTTTAAATGTAAAGAAAACTAGCAGTACAAGTAGCACACGGATAAATCACTGTGTTCACTGCAGATTGCTGGCTTCCAGCTCAGCCTAGATGGGAAACTATGATGGCTTCATCAAATCTTGGAATGACTGAATTTTAAAACTTAGACCCCGGAGGAGGTCACACCTAGAAGCAGAACCTTAGAACCTCAGTATCTTGATGGCATTTTCAAAGATAATGCCATCTTAATCAATACTGTATCACCTTTTTTTTTCTTTTTTCTTTCTTTTTTTTTTTTTGACAGAGTCTCGCTCTGTTGCCCAGGCTGGAATGAAATGGTGCAGTCTCGGCTCACTGCAACCTCCGCCTCCTGGGTTTAAGTTATTCTCCTGCCTCAGCCTTCCAAGTAGCTGGGATTACAGATGCCTGCCACCACGCCCAACTAATTTTTGTCTTTTTAGTAGAGATGGGGTTTCACCATGTTGGCCTGGCTGGTCTCGAACTCCTGATGTCGTGATCCGCTCTCCTCAGCTTCCAAAAGTGCTGGGATTACAGGCATGAGCCACAGCGCCTGGTCACTTTATTGTCTTTATCTCAATACTTACGAAAATGATCTTGCAACTTGGAGAATCCATAAGAGCTTGGGATCATGGTATTTTGGAAGATTAGACTTATGGAATCCTAGACTTCCAGAACTTCCACTCCACATTGAGGTTGGTGGAAGAGGAAATTACGGTTGGAAAAGAGTGATTGAGGTCCTACAGAATGGTGGCCTCCAAGGCTCCTGCCTTCTTCCTCCTGCCTCCTGTCTGACCCTCCACCCCAGCGTGCTCAGGGCTCCCACTGTGCATTCTGCTCCCAGTAGAGAGCACCACCCGGAACAGTTCTCTGCTTGTTGGCAACACTCACGCCCCCATCTCCTTCCCGGTGCTCCTTCTCTATGCTAGCTAATCTGGTGGCTAATGAATCCACAGTCTCAAATTGATGGGCAAATGAGTGATTTATATGAACAAATGACCACCCTCCCCCATCAAGTAATAAGTGCTTTCTATGGAACATTGCAATCTACACGGTGGTGCTGATGGTGACATTTGAGGCAGGATGGTCATCAATGAAGACAATATCATGACATCTTTGGATGAAATGCCTCCATTTTTGCATTTTATTTCCACTAGGGATTGCAGAGATTGGATTTGGGGTTGCAGAGAGAGCTCTCCAGAGAAAACTTGCCTCTGCTTCTTTTCTTACCTCAACATCAGATGTCCAACTAGAGACCAAACTCATTCACTTCTGGAGGTCTGAATGTTTACAACTCCTTCCCACCTTTCTTTCTTTTCTTTTGAGACAGGGTCACACTCTCACCCAGGCTGGAGTGCAGTGCTGCGATCATGGTTCACTGCAGCCTTGCCCTCCTGGGCTCAAGTGATCCTCCCACCGTTAGCTTTGGTGAATCCATCTGGCTCTGCAGCAACCTCAATTCTTGCCCTCAGAAGGAGTCTGAGCAAAGTACATAAGGCAAAGTGAGAGACTGAGGAAAGTTTTAGAGCAGGAACGAAACGAAGTAAAGTAGTCTCAAGAGAGGCCAGGCAGGCGACTTGAGAGGTGCAGGTGTGCGGTTTTGACCTTTGATGGGGTTTTATATATTGGAGTGCTTTTGGGGGGTTGTGTCCCTCCTCCCCTGATTATTCCCTTTGGGAGGCTGTCCACCTGTGCAGTGGCCTGCCAGCACTTGGGCGGGGCTGCACGCACAGTGTGTTTACTGGAGCTGTGCAGACGCTCACTGGAGGTATTCTTCTCTTATCAGTCTAGCATTTCTAGAGGAAGGTCGTATACCTATTAAACTCCATCATTGTCCTCTTAATGCACATGCCTGAGGCCACTTGCCCAGCTCCTAAGATCTTATCAGGACGTGGCTGATCACCAGCTTCAGATGTTTCTGTCTATTGGGAGACGGGCTTTCCTTCTGGCTGCAACCAATTATCATTATTTTAGAGGGACAGTTAACAATCACCTGACCATCACCTGATGGTGGCCTCACATTCCTGGTTGGAGGCGGGGCCCTCTCCTGCCCTGCTCACGTCTGACTAGCTACCTGCAGTAACACTACCTCAGCCCCCTTCCCCGAGAGCTGAGACCATAGGCACACACCACCACATCCATCTAATTTTAATATTTTTTTGTATAGATGCTGTCTCCCTGTGTTGCTCAGGCTGGTCTCAAACTCCTGGGTTCAAGTGATCCTCCTGCCTTGGCCTCCCAAAGTCCTCCACATCTTTTAAGACTTTACTGAGATGTCACCTCCTCTGGAAAGCCTTCTGGGATTGTTCTTCCCAAATGCTGAACATCTGAGGGCTTCGTATCAGCACCACGCATTTGTCTGCCAGCTATAATCTCCAAACTCTGTTCACTAAAAACCACTGGGGAATGATTATTCTCCAATGCCTTTCTAATGTCTTAGAATTCGTGACCTAGGGTTTGCCAACCTGAGGGCCCACAGTGGCCGGTTCAGAATGCTGGGGACTGCAGTAAACCAGAGGATTTACCCGGTGATCGTTCCTCATTCTGGCCAGCAAGGCCATCTGGGAACGACAGTTCAGTATTGCCAAATCTTCTACTGGTTTGAAGACGCTGATGACATGGTTTGGATCTGTGTCCCCACTCAAATCTCATGTCAAATTGTAATCCACATTGTGGGAGGTGATTGATCATGGGGCGGATTTCCCCCTTTGGTACTGTTTTTGTGATAGAGTTCTCATGTGAAGTGCCTCATTCCCCCTTCGCCTTCCGCCATGACTGTAAGCTCTCTGAGGACGCCCCCTCCAGAAGCAGCTGCTGCCATGCTTCCTATACAGCCTTTGGCACTGTGAGCCTATTAAACCTCTTTTCTTTATAAATTACTCAGTCTCATAGCAATGCAAGAATGGACGGATAGAGCTGATAATTATTTTTACATAAAAACCTCTCCTTTCAGGCAAATAAAGCACATTGATGGATTTGGCTCTGGAGCCAGGACTCTGTAGGTCCTTGTTGGTCTGGGTGCTTCTGGATGCCCGGAGTCATGCATGGCATGGGTGGTCTTCAGCAGCCACTGCTACTCATTCACCCTCTGCCTGTCACAGCATCTGGAACCTTACATTACTGCAGGCATGCTGCAGAAGTTAGGTGCAGCAGCTTTAAAACGTGACCCCCAAATTCTTTGATGCTCCTTCCATCAAGAGGCAAAGGTGCAGTAAACCAGATGATTTACCTGGTGGTCACTCCTCATTCTGGCCACCAAGGCCGCCTGGGAATGACAGTTCAGGGCAACCCGACCCCTCCTTCCCCTGCAATCTACAGCCTGTGGTTGCTTGACCAATGGAGTACGGCAGAAGAACCACCATGCCAGCTTCTGGACGCCTGCTCTCAGAACCCAGAGAGGTCCTGAGGAAGGCCAAGCAGCCTGTGAGGAGGATGAGTGCAATGAAACCAAGACCCTCATCCCCCACCCCACTCCCCCGACAGCCAGCCCCAACTTGCCATGAGGGCACCATCTTAGAAATGGACCCTCCAGGCCCCAGCCAAGCTGTCCCAGCTGACACCACACAGAGCAGGGATGAGCCTTCCCCTCTAAGCCCTGCCTGAACTGTGGATTCACGAGCAAAATCAAGCTCCTAAGCACGGGGGTTGTTTGTCACAGTAGTAGATAACTGCAACATCCATAGCCCTGGGCTTGAGTCCTGGCTCCTTTCGCCCCTGACTCTGGCATCTTGGGCCCTTTGCCTCCCCACAGCCTCAGTCTACTCACTGAAGAAGGGAGGGTTTGGTCTGCTCACAGTGTGGAATGCTGTGTTGTTTATGCAGCGGTGGGGGTGTGAAGCGGCATCCCCCCAACACCCGGCCTTGAAAAGCAGATGGGCATCGTCGAGGGAAGCACAAGATGCCCTGACCCCGTGACCCCAGCCTCCGGCCACCCTGCCTGAGATCCCCCCCTCAGCCCCCAGCTCTGGATTTCCACCCTGAATCCTTCCCTAGCTCAGGCCGGATGCGCTTTGGCTCTGAGGTCAACTCTGCGCACATGCTCTGGAAGACAAGGTCAGCTGACTTGTGAGGGCAAACAACTGGAGACGGCCTAGGAGTCCATCACGTGCAGAAGGGCTTCAAGCATCACGGCTTATGTATAGACTGCGGATGAACGGAGTCACGCTCTACGCAGCGAGTGCAGCAGCCTCGATAACGTGATTCTGAGTCAAAACAGTAAGCCGCAGGGTGACTCATCCAGCGTAGTCCCATTAAGTTTCAGAGCAAACAAAACCAATGTTTATGGATACAGATGTATGTGTGAAAACAAATTTGGGAAGGTGAACTCCAGATTTAAGGAGTTAATTCCTTCAGGAGGGAGAGAAACACAGAAATGCAATCAGAGAGGGCCGCCTGAGGGCTCTGACTACTTCCCGAAAATGATTCGTGAAGGAGGAGGAGCAGGACCAGAAACCGGTTAGAACTGGAGCTGGAGCCAGCTGTGGTGGCACACATCTGAAATCCCAGGGACTCAGGAGGCCGAGACAGGAGGTTTGCTTGAGGCCAGCTGGGGACTAGCCTGGGCAACATAGTGAGACTCCATTGTCTAAATATTAAAAATGAATCAGCCAGGCATGATGGCAGGCACTTGTCATCCCAGCTACTTGGGAGACTGAGGCAGAAGGATCGCTTGAGTCCAGGAGCTTCAACCTGGAGGAAATTTTAATTGTACCACTGCACTCCATCCCAGGCAACAGAGTGAGACCCTGTCTCTAAAAAAATAAAATAAAATAATTAATTAAAGAACTGGAGCCAAGTGAGAAATCCGTAGGTGTTTGTTACATTATTTTCTGTACTTTTCTATATGTCTGAACTATTTCATAAGTAAAAAGAACAGATTTCCCAAATGAAGAATTGAAGTCAATGGTGAGCCGGGCATCTTCCAGGTTTCTGAGTCACACAGAAGCCTCTGGCAGTTCTAGAGGGAGCATCTGCATCTCCCACTCTTCCAGCGCAAGCCGGCTCCATAGTACACTCCCAGTCCTAAAACAGAATGACTAACGTGGGATTCCTGCCGTGGCGAGTGTGTGTGCGTCTGTGCGCGTGTGCACTTGTGCACTCTCCCAGGGAGTCTCCCACCTGCCTCCAGGCTGGCCCGAAGCCTCTCTGCCTTCTGCACACCCTCCCAGAGGTCATGTGGGAGGCCGCCCATGTGAGAAAGTCAGTGCAGGGACTGAGAAGGCTGGGCCCTGAAGGTGCCCCCTGGCTCCCTGGCCTAATTGCCTGTGACCTTGGGTTTTGCATTCCTCACTTGCAAAGTGTATGTGAGGGCAGAGCATAAATCTAAGCTTTCTTCTGGACCCTCACATCCTCTTCATTTCCTATGCCCTAGATGGCCTTTCCCCCAGTGAGGTAGCAGCAAAAATAACAACTGCAGCTGCGGTTTACTCAGCACCGGGAGGTGATTATCTCATTTAGCCCCCACCACGGACCCCTGATGGATGAGGAGGCTGAGGATCAGAGAGGCCCCAAGGCTAGTCCCAGGAAACACAGTGCAGATGCCGTGTTGCTGGGGCTTTGAGGAGTGCAGGGAGGAGGGCTGCCATCACACTGGCCCCTGTCCACCCCAGCCTCCGGCCACCCTGCCTGAGGTCCCTCCCACTCAGCCCCCAGCTCTGGATTTCTACCCTGAATCCTTCCCTAGCTGAGGCTGGATGGGCTTTGGCTGGATGAGAGTTCTGGGAGCCAGGCCCAGGGAAGCTGGGGCAGCAGGCAGAGGCCCCAAGGTCCCATGCACACCAGGGCTGCCCAGAGCCTCCAGCCTTGGAGGCAGGGGCAGTGGATAGAAGAGGACATGGAACAGAGACCTCTGCTTCAGAAATTGGATCCACCATTGCCATGGTGGCCTCTCAGAGAGGCATCTCCACACCCACAAGTCACCTGCCATCGTCTGACCCTCACAACACCCTCGACAGGCAGGGCCACTGGTGAAATGCACTTCCTGGAAACCGAGGCTCAGCGAGGTCCATCTTGGGTTACCACTTTCCAGCCCCTTGATGAGTTGACGGAAGTGAGTACACCTGTGCCCACGGCCCCGCAAAGCCCCTCTCTCTCTTCCCCAGAGGTCCCTGTGATCCTGACTTTTAATACCGTAGGCGAGTTTTGCCTAGTTTAAACTCCGTGTAAATGAGATGGTCCAGTTTGTATGGTTCCTTCCCAGTTTCTTTTGCTCGTCACTCTTGGAGTCTCTCGCTGCACATGACTGTCGTTGCCCTTGTTCCTAGCTACATGATACTCCATTCATGGGTGTGCCACGAGTTCCCCTAGCACCCACTGACGGGGGTCTGACCTATTCTCAGGTTTTGAAGCCAGCTGGCTTTCTGCAGCTCCTGCTTTCCCCTGCCTGAGCCCTGGAGCCTAGCAGCAGCCTGGGTCTGGGACAGGTGCTGCAATTCTCCTCATTTTAGAGAAGGAATTAGAAGGCAAGTAGAGACGGGGGCCATCTGCCAAGGCTGGAGCTGGCATCTTCCTGGTAATACTTGCCCCTAAGCCCCAGCCTATCCTAGGTCACCAGACCACCCCCGCCTCCCCTAACCCAGCCCAGGGCTGCTCACATCTGCCTCTTTGACAGTCGCCTTTTCTTTCACATGGGCCTGTGTGCTGTCTGCCTGCCCTTCCCCAGCAGGCTCCATGAATGAGTCTGTGCCTGGGGCCAAGCAAGTGCTCAAGAAATTTGTCACCCGCCTGTCCTCCTGCTCCACCCCAGTGCCCTTTAACCCCAGCGCCCAGGGCCTAGGGCTGGTCAGGAGGCCTGAGGTGTTAGAGTGCTACAAACTCAGGTGGGGCCTTGGGCAAGTCACTTCACCTTTCTGTGCCTCAGTTTCCTCCTCTTTACAGTGACGTTGTTGAGAGGATGACGTGAATTAATCCCTGAGAGGCAGCTGGCTGAATGCCTGGCCTGCAGGAGTCTCCATAGTCATGCAGGCTATGATGCCTACCCCTGATTGCTATTGTTATAACCCAGGTGAAGAAGGCACCAATTCCCAGGCCTGGTCTACCTCAGCCCAGTGCCCTCCCTGCCCCATTAATTGTATGTATGTGTGCGCGTGTGGGTACGTGTAGAGCATCCTTTGAGCTTAACAAAATATTGACTTCCTGATAAAATCCTTTCCCCCAGGCTACTGTCCCTCTCCTTACTGGGCTGACCCTTTGAGGATCTCAGAGCCAAACTGATGGCTCTGTAGTTCCCCCACTGCCTTGGGTCCTACTCTTAGTTTTCAAGACAATTAATTAAAAAATTTAAATGGTGATTGTTATGATCTGAATGCCAAATCCATGTGTTGCAATCCTTATCCCCATGGTGATGGTGTCGGGAGGTGGAAACTTTGGGAGGTGAGGAGGTCATGAGGGTGGGGCCCTCATGAATGGGATTAGTGCCCTTATACAAGAGGCCACAGAGAGCTCCCTTGCCCTTCCCACCATGTGAGGACACAGCAAGAAGGCACCATCTATGAATCAGACAGCAGCCGCTCCCCAGGCACCAAGTCTGCTGGCACCTTGGCCTTAAACTTTCTAGCACCAGACCTGTGAGAAATAAATTTCTGTTGGTTATAAAACTACCCAGTCTATGGCATGTTGTTATAGCAGCAAGAACAAACTAAGACAGTGGTAGATGCCTGCAGTAAAAAAAAGTCAAAAGTCTCAAGAGGAAGAATGGAAAATCAGGCTTACTTTCTCATCCTCG